AAATTACTTTGTTCGACGCAGGCCAGCGCGCGTGGTCCTCTGAAGAAAAGGTGATGGAGGGATAGGGGAGAATAACTCCACAGAACACTCGCCGTGGTATAGTATTTTTTTATATATAGAGGTAGGCAAATGCCTCTACCCCACCTGATGTTAAGTGGTAATAAAGTCCAAACGATATAATTATAATAAATATAAATAAATATTTCCGACACTCATCACACCAATTAGCCTAGCTCCAAAGTAAGCACTGTAAGGCTTGTGTTATGGGATGTTAGGGTAACGGATAGAATACATATACTGTACTTAAATAAGTATATTTATATAGAAATACATATTAAACATCCATGACTGGAGTACAAATGCTCGTATTCATCACCCAAACATCTGCCCCCACCGGGATTCGAATCCGGGACCTCTCGAGATGGCCACACCACACAACCCGGCGTATAAACCACTCGGCCACGGAGGTCGTCAATTTTTTTTTTAATTTTTTTTCTTATTTATTTATTTCAAGTAACACAGACTCATATTATACATAATACATTAATTAACTATTTATTATTATTGATTTATTATATTAAAATTATTTCTGAACAGTCAGTCAGTAATGGTGTTACAATTTTAATTTCTTAAGCATTTACCTGGTAGATTTTTTTAATCTAAAGAATATTTTATTAGAAAATTCCAGTAGTACTAGTAAAAAAACGAACTACTAATAAACGGCTAGTTTTCACGACCTCCGTGGCCGAGTGGTTTGTACGCCGGGTTTCATGGCTGTCGCCGACTCGAGAGGTCCCGGGTTCGAATCCCGGTGGGGGCAGATGTTTGTGTGATGAATACGAGCATTTGTACTCCAGTCATGGATGTTTAATATGTATTTATATAAATATACTTATATATGTACAGTATATGTATTCTATCCGTTACCCTAGCATCCCATAACACAAGCCTTATAGTGCTTACTTTGGGGCTAGGCTAATTGGTGTGAGTGTCGGAAATATTTATTTATTTGAATTTGGTTAACATTTCCAGAGTATATTATTACTAAAAATAGACGCTTTAATATGAAATTTTACATGAATTCCAGTTACAGTACAATCCGTTTATTATGGCTTCGAAGGGACTCGACAAACACGTCATACTAAGCGGACGTCATACAAAGCATTTTTGTGAAAAAAGATTGTGAGATGAGTTTGATTCTCCATTTTCTAATCAGCATATTATTGCACCTTTTTCCTCAGTCGTAAATGCTTTACGACGTTGAGATGACATTTTTTTACATAGCATATCACTAAAAACAATGCTTGATGTTCAATTTGAATCAACGAACATGACCGTAGGTGTAAAGAACCATGGCGGTCACTATAAACGCACAAAATTGATTAAAAATGGGTCATAATAAGCGACATGTCACTGTAAGCGAAGTCATTATATCCGACATTGTTACAATGAATTTTATATGAAAACCAAAGTTCGTTGTGTAATTACGTCATAATAGGCGGTTGGTCAATATAGGCGGAGTCATAATAAACGGATTCTACTGTATATAATTGTAGCTACAGTAGGAAGAGACTAGAGATTGAAATCATACGGCCTTAGTTCGCCGCAGTCGGTTAAAAAAGTACGAGTATGGCATATTAAAAAAATAAAACAGTGTTATCTAACTAACAACAGCTTTGTGCAGACAGGTGTACAGACAGAATACCCATCACACTATATGGGTCAGTAGAGTAACATAGATCTACAAACTTTTAGAGTAGTCGCATAATTTTTACTAAGTACAAGAGAGGTAGAATATAGCGGATTTTGCGCTGAAATTGGAGGCACAAGAGAGGTACAATATAGCGGATTTCGCGCAGAAATTGGAGGCACAAGAGAGGTACAATATATAGCGGCTTTTGCGCTGAAATTAGAGGCACAAGAGAGGTACAATATAGCGGATTTTGCGCTGAAATTGGAAGCACAAGAGAGGTAGAATATAGCGGAATTTGCGCTCGGATTGGAGGCACGAGAGAGGTACAATATAGCGAGTTTTGCGCTGAAATTAAAGGCACAAGAGATGTACAACATAGCGAGTTTTGCGTTCGGATTGGAGGCACAAGAGAGGTACATTATAGCGAGTTTTGCGCTGAAATTGCAGGCACAAGAGAGGTAGAACATAGCGGAATTTAGTAAGTAGTCTTAAACCTCAACCTCACGTGATCAATGGACGGCCCCTTTGATAAATTATATTTCGATTGATTTATGAATTGAAACTTATTGAGCTTACAATATTATGATAATATACGAAATCACCGTTCACTCATTTGTTTCATCAGTGATTCACTTAAGGATTTAAACTCGAGTCAAAGGTTTCTTTTCTAGCTCTTTGAACTGGAAGTCATCATCATCATCAGCCTATTAAAGTCTCCACTGCTGGGGCACAGGCTTTCCCTATGAATGGAATAGGAACCCACCACGTGGGCCCAGTGCGGATTGGCTGTTGCTAACGATTGCAGATGCAGCCGGGACCAACAGCTTGCAGCGTGCCTTCCGAAGCACGGAGGACCTCGAGATAGTAGAATTTTGGTCACCCATCCAATGATCGACCATTGCGAAAGTTGCTTAACTTGGACGATCGCAGCCGAACAACGCTAACCACCTGCGCCATCGAGCTCCTCGCACTGGAATGACGAGCTTCAAATAATTTGAGAATAGTAAATTAGGGATGATGACTAATTTTTTTTTCTTCGTTTATCAGGTAGATTATCAAAAAGTATTGGACACGTATTTTTTTTCACATAATATAAACATTGCAGAGATGTATTAATTTGAAAAGTCGCATGACGTCACGTTTGAGTACACTTATAAGTGAAAGTTCACTCAAAAGTGACGTGCAAGTAGTGCATAGGGGCTCGTCTACTCCCAAACTTTGACGCGCTATAACTTTGTCATTTTTTGGTTGATTGCCCAAAGACAAAATACGTATCCATTATTTTTTGATCATCTAACTGACGGACTAGAAATAGAATTTTATTTACTGTACCCCGTCATCACCACTATCGGCTGTAAAACAATTAACAGAGACACTTCTAGGCTTGCCTAACTCTACAGCCTAGCGCACACGAGTTAATTTTAAACACATGCATATCCCGTGCCTCTAGCGGTTACTTTATTTACAAAATATGGAGTTTCATGGCTGCACATTCATATAGGGGAGATCCAATCTTATTACTGTTGAGTTTAGAGTCTATATTCCCATGGCAATTGGTATAAAGGTAAATCGAGCCGCTATCTTTGCTATTCCTGACCGATGCCATGATGAGCGGAACAACAATATTATGTTAGCTGAATCCTGAAATATAGAGTTCGTAAGACAGTCGGTTTGTTTATTCTAAACCGGGCTCTGGTACCAATCGTTTGGTTTTTCAAGATTTCGGTCAACGTCAGGTGGTTTTTAAACGCGTATTATATAGCGGCCCGCCCTCGCTTCGCTTCGGTGTAGAGCTGAAGTGTAGACTACAGTTTTTGTTCTCAGGCTTGTATTATACACAATGCGCGCCAGCTCCAACGGCATCCTGAGAACATTGACCGCACGCTGTGACAGTATAATGTTGAAGAAATCAGAAATCAATATATCTTTATTCAAATTGGATGTATAGTACAACACTTTTGAATCGTCCAAACATTTTTTTGAAGCGCTGGGTGCACCTACATACTTTACACCCATGAAATAAGGTCGTACCTATATCCATTAATTGCTAACTGAATTTAATTGACATGTACAATAGATTATAATTATGAATATAATTAATATGGCGGATAATTTGGTAATGAATAATAATTTAATATACTAATACTACTAACATAGGATAAGCCCGACATTGTTACGAACTTGGACTAATGACTATGGATTATAATTCCATTATAATTATCTGAAATAAATGATTATTATTATTATTATTGTTGTTCCGAGGAAATGTTTGGATTAATACCAGCTGGTGCTTTCCGCTATCGTAAATCGCGACAAAACCAGACGCGAAGAAAGCTAGTACAGCAGTTCTACCGGTAACACCAGCCTATTCTCATTATTGCCGGCCTTTTTTTTTTGTGACGCAGGCAAAAACTCTATTTACAGATGACGGTGCCTTTAAGAGGCACACCGCCGAACGGACCTCACACCTGGCTCCCGCAAACCTTACGAGCCCCCACAGTGGCTACCCAGAGGACCCCGTAACTCTTACGGGCGCTTTACGGCATAATATCCCCTAAAAGAGGAGCTCGATGGCGCAGGTGGCTAGCGCGTTCGGCTGCGATCGTTGAAGTTAAGCAACTTTCGCAGTGGTCGGTCATTGGATGGGTGACCAAAAATTTACTATCTCGAGCTCCTCCGTGCTTCGGAAGGCACGTTAAGCCGTTGGTCCCGGCTGCATTTGCAGTCGTGAGCACCCACCAATCCGCACTGGGCCCGCGTGGTGGGTCATGGCCCAATCTCCCTATTCCATCCATAGGGAAGGCCTGTGCCCCAGCAGTGGGGACATTAATAGGCTGATGATGATGATGATCCGCTAAAAAACCCTGCGAATACCCTATAAGCTGCTTAGTGCGAAACCGCGGGATCCCCGTTTAGGGATTCTTCCGCGTCTCCGCACCCAGCAGCCTCCCGGCCTAGCCGGGGCTCCACGGCAGGGGTCTGTCGAGGTATTGCGGGGACCCCGCAGACGTGCGCAGGATGAGGGGCGCGTGGGGGTTGAGTACGCGGCCTAGGCCTGCCCACCGTCCCGCCCCCCGTCCGCTGCGTAGGACTACTTGGGCGTGCCTATGTAGCTCCCTCCGCCGCCCCCCTCTTTGCAGGACAGAACTACAAGATGGGGGCTGCCCTCATTTTGCCGAGCTACAGAAGAAAGGGAACCCGTGTACTGGTAAAGCAATCCATTTGCGGATAGTGCGACAAAGAAATGAGGCACCCAATTTATTCGGTTGCTTTGTTTGGACGAGTTGAGAGTTCTGGATTGACTTACCCAATTGTATGGAGCCCATGATCTGCGAAGACTGTATCTTCTTGTATGTGATCTCGCCGCCTTCTCCGACGCGCCGATGGCCGATCTTCCGATCCGACTTGTGCACCTTGCCCATGGCTCCTGATGGGCCGACAGCCGGCTGGAACATAAAGAAGGATATATATATATATATATATATATATATATATATTTAAATCTAAAGAAAATATAACTAAAAAAAATCCACGCGGGCCAGGCAGCAGACCGGACTCGAACCAGCACCCTTCGCTATCCGAGCGAATGCACTGACCAATTATGTTACCGCAGCCCTGATGGCCGCGTCGAAATTCCTCTAGCCATTCTTAAGCTGCAAGGCATTATTGAAAAATATTATGTACTTGAATATCTAATGGGTCCCGACTGTTAAAGTAGCTTTGTTCCTTATTAACAGAATTATAGACTACCGGACTTGTTTTTTTCTTTTCAGTTTTTATTTGAAGTATAATTAAGCAGTCGGGTTTTTTGATTTTTTAAATTTACCTTTTTTTTATTGTGTAAGACGGCCAATAAAGGTTTTTTCATATCATTTCATATGTCAACGCACCGTGCGGTCCAGGTTGACCACGTCGTGACATGGAGATCTGGACAGGCATCGTGTTCAATCTTAGCAGATGCTTTCCTATTGTCAGAACAGCATACAGACTACGAGTTTTGTACGCAGTACGCGCTGTGCGGGCAGAGTGCATATTGCTGGCCTTTGTAGCAAATGCGATCTGCGATCGTGGCGGTTAAGTAACTTTGGTATTGGTCTGTCATTGGATGGATGGGTGATCAAAAATTATGATATCTTCCCCCAGCTTCGAAAGGCATAAACAATTTCTCACTGGTGTCATACAGTATTTGTATCTATACTGTAATGACACAGCAATCAAAATGTAGATAAACAATTAATGTAAAATTAATCATTATTTAATGAAAGGTGATTTCATGAATCATCTCTGACGTATTTTTCAACTTGACGACTCTATGAATAATAAAACAGGGAGAAAAAACAGCCCTTGCTGAGTTTCTTGGGGGCCGTCCATAAATTACGTCATCGATTTTTTCAGATTTTAGACCCCCCCCCCCCCTACAATCATCCTATCGTCATTTCTTAATGACCCCCCCCCTTCTCCCAAAATTGACGTCATTACAAGTTTGACAAAATTAAAACATTGCAGATTTGAGAAAAGCTAGTATTATATGTAATATTATTGTTAGAGTATTTTATCTGTAGTTATTACTGTATTTGTGTACATCTATGTTGCATTATGTATGTTTATTAAAGTAATTTCTTTTTAGAAATAATCTTTTTGTACGTGAACAATAAACTATAAATAAGAATGACGTCAATTTCGAAACACCCCCCTGTTTTGTTTTATCTTCACGTGATCGTAACAACATAATGTAGTATGCAAACTTTCGTCGTATCAACATACAAAAGATTAGGCTTGTTGAAAATATATCGATGTATCGATATATCGATATTTTTTGCCGATATATTTTGATTCGATATATCGATACATCGATACAAAATAACCAATATCGAAATTCGTATCAAAAACGATATTTTTTTAATTATTAGCGGCATATCATGATCTAACTAAATTCGTATCTGGAAAAATCGTAACTGGATCTCAGATTAATGATATACAACATATCTATGATCTGTGCGGTATTTAGTATTGTCTATGTCATCATTCGAAAATAGGGTCTATTTTTAGGGAGATAATTTTCGTTCCATTATTATTCCGCGTGTCATATTTCGTGAGCGATATTTTTGGGAAAATTGGTCCGATATATCGATGTTTTTTTCGCGATATATCGGAGCCGATATTGATATTTTTTAAAATATCGATGTATCGATATATCGATATTTTTTTCAACTTACGACATCCCTACAAAAGATGATAACATACAACTTATTGATATAAAGCTTGGTTATATAATTGATATGACTAATACAGTACATGCTTAGCAGTACTAGACTGGGTAATTCGCTAAAGAAATTCTTATATAGAAACTTCGGAAATTTATCGCATATCAACTTTTTTTTGTGACGCGCAGGCAAAACCACTGTTTACAGACGACGGCGCCCTTAAGTGTCGCCGCACACGGGCCACACGCCACAGCCACAAACGCCGCCGCGAGAAGCTAGAAGCGGCTATTTAAGTGGCTGAAGCGCGCGACAGCGGCCCACTAAGTGTCGCCGCATGCGGGCCACACGCCACAGCCACAAACGCCGCCACGAGAAGCTAGAAGCGGCTACTAAAGTGGCTGAAGTGCGCGACAGCGGCCGACTAAGGTAAGGGAGAGAGGGGTGGTGAAACGCGCGAGTGACGTGTGGCGGCGTTTTGTATCGGCGCATTAAAGTGGCCGGTGCGGGCCACAAGAAGCGAGCAACGACCATTTGTAACGTGTGGCGCCCACCGGCGTACCGTGTGTGGCGAGTCCATATAAAATGTATGAAAACTACAAGAAATATGCCGGTGGCGGCGGCGTTTTGTGGTTGTGGTCGGTGGCCCGTGTGCGGCGACACTAAGGCCCGTATTATAGAAAGATTCTCAGTGATTGATCTAATCTTGAGTATAGTTAGAAAGCGATGTCGCTCTGTATAGCACATAGCTCCATCTCTTTCTAACTGTGCTCAAGTAAAGATCGACAGTTAGTTGTCATTCTGTAATATGGGCCTAAGAGGCACACCGCCGAACGGACTTCACACCCAACACTCGCAAACGTCACGGGCGCGACGGGGCTAACCCCCAAAGTAACCCACGCCATTTAGGCGTTTAACAGACCACGTTGCGGGGCGTGCATTTTGTCCGCGAAGCAATAAAAACCGCGTCTGCCCGTCGATGTCTGCGGCTTCCCGCGCCGCGTACACAAAGCACACGACGGGCAGAGGCGGTCAGTTCAGGACGTTCGTTCTAGTGAATAGTCCATCACTAAAAAGCGCCTGGCGCGGACTGAGCTAGCCGCCCCGCGCCGCCGTCTGCGTTACTGCATATAACCTGGTTTGTATGATCCACGGCGGGAAGCCGCGGACATGCCGCGCCGCCAGTGCCCGCCGGGCACCCAAGGCGCGGTCTTTTTGCCCTCTGTGTGCGTTTGTAGTATAGGATTCACTTTGTGCTATCGTCCGCGGCGAAATTGACCGGCCCGCCCCGCCCCGCCGTCTGCAAAGCGCCTTAACGGCGTACTATCCGCTAGATGATGAGTCACTAGGGTTACCATACATTCGGATTAGTCCGGACATGTCCGGGATTTTAGGCCCAAAACAGGACTTTGGCGGCTCTTTAAATTATCAGGATTCTTTAAAAAAAAAACTACATATTTAATCAGATTCCATACCATTGTTACTAAGTGAGTAATGTTTCCATTTTGTGACTAAAAAGTCCGGACATTTTCCGAACTGTCAGGACTTTTGATATAACTAAATGGTAACCCTGAGTGTCCCACATTAGTTGGGCGAAAGTAATTCGCGGAGACCGTCTTACTAGGGTAATTGACAAGTTTCAGAAAAGGAACTAACGTCTTTTACTAATAATTATAATCATAATCAAAATCATTTATTCAGTTTAGGTTATTACAAGCACTCATGAATGTCTAGAAGCTACGCCATGCATCGGTTCGTAAATCTACGCCGGGAGACCTTGTACTGAGAAGAACCGGCAAGAAACTCAGCAAGGGCTGTTTTTTTCTCCCTATTTTATTATTTACAGAGTCGTCAAGTTCATAAATAACTTCAGAGATGATTCATTAACATAATGATTAACATATACCTAAATTGTTTACCTGTAATTTTGATTGCTGTGTCATACAGTATAAATACAAATGTTTATAAAGACCATACAAAGTGGATCAATGACTCATGGTTGCACGGATGTCAATTTGTATGACTTACCCGCGTGGTTACTCGGATGCCACTGCCACGGTAATATTATAGACTAGTGGCCCGCCCTCGCTTCGCTTCGGTGTAGAGGTGTAGTGTAAACTATAGTTTTTGTTCTCAGGCTTGTGCTATAAACAATGACTTTATTTATATAATTACACGTGTTATTGTGAGTCAACCATAAAAGATAGACATATGCTATTGCGGAATATTTTTTAGACAATTTTATGTAGAATATTTCCGTCATACATGATTTCTATGTAACTTTAACCATTAAGGCTGCACACGCGACGGAAGCTTAAAAAATGGAGTAACTTCTCCCGTTTTCCCAACATTTCCCTTCACTACTCTGCTGCTATTGATTATAGCGTGATGAAAAGTATACTATAACCTGCCCAGGAGTATGAAGAATAATTGTACCAAGTTTCGTTAAAATCCGTCGAGTAGTTTTTGTTTCTATAAGGAACATACACACAGACCGACAGACAGACAAAAAATTTACTGATTGCATTTTTGGCATCAGTATCGATCACTAATCAAATCAATCAAAAAATCCAAATCAAAAATATATTTATTTTCCATCACAACGGAGATTCATAGTAAGTCTTGTATAAGCCATTACAGTATTGTGGCTCCTCTATTTGTGATGAACTGGTGCCTGAAATAGGTTTCAGCAATAGAAACCTGTGCTACAGGTCACCAGGCCCAATCACAGATAGCAAGACTTCCACGGATGGTACAATATCTCGAACAGTTGAAATGTGTATATATATTGTTGTTTCAACAGCATTGAATAAAAGAAAACAAATAAATAATAACAAAAATCAAAGAAAGCTATTCTATCTAATAGGAAGCTAGAAAATTATCCAGTTTCCAAAATTAAAAATAAAAATAATAACCAAATACGGCGTGTAAGTGTGTGATAGTAAGTGTTTGTGTGATTTCGTTCTTTTGACGTGACAACGTCTTAAATTAGGTTGCGGCTGGGAGTCACTTATGAAAAAGTGTAACGCTCGGTAACGTTACGATGAGTCTCTCGTGTTAAGTTTAAGTTTACATGTACAATGTTTTAGTAAACAAAATATATTTCTATAGTTAAAATTTGTGCAATTCTTATTTTCATTCAATTCCTTGTTCCTATTGTGCAATTTAATTATATTCATATCAATAAATATTCTACCGAGAAAAAGACGTTGTCACGTAAAATCTTCGCCCGTAAAACCGACTTT